TTTTAAGGTACAGCAACCATTCGTATCCACTTTCCCGCACAGGCCCGAACAGATCGTAGCTCTTTTTCCCTTCGGGCTCCTTGATAGTATGAAACATCTACTGGGCTTTGGAGTACCATACTTGAATACTTTTTTGGGGGGCCTGTTCCTTAAAGGAACCATTATGAAGTGAAAGTCTATACTTGTTTCTCCCTGGTTACTTCAAAGCCCAGTCTATATCCACATTGGTGACCAACCTCGGTGAGCATCCTACAGCCGGAGCCCAGCAGCAGCCTAAAGCCATGTCTCAAGCATACCTTACGCATGGCCCGGACACAAATCCCGATGAAGAGGCCTACTTCACAAACATCCACCTCTGTTGGAGTATGCAGGCCTACATCCCGAAGTATAACGCTCCTGCAAGCGCTGAAGCTGCAAACTGCAACCACTAACACCCCTAAACCCTTAAGATGCCTTAAAGCATCCGAAAGCCGAGAACTCATGAATTTTCAAACCCAAATTAAAAGTCTTCCAGAGGCTGATGATGCTCTACGGAGGGATCTGCAAGCAGGCGATGGTGGCGCAGGGCGAAGAGAATGGGGGGCTCTGAAAACAAACCTGACACACGATACAGTTGGGTAGTTCTCTAAATTAGGGTCCCCTCTTAGGTCCGCAAAAGAATACGGCACCCTTACAAACAGGACCCTAAAAGGGACACTACTTTGGACAGCTACCCATTTGTCATCAGTACCCACACTTTCCCTAAACCCTAAACCGGCCACAGGAAGAGTTTAAGTTTAGAGGTCTGAACAATCAGTTATGATCCCCGCACGATGTAATCCCCGTAACATGGCCAAAGCCCCGAAAAGTGATGTCCTGAAAGCTCCAAAACCCAACAACAAAACAGTCAGTAGCATACTCTTAGTAGTTGAAATCTAATGACACAAGAACAGGAAGTAAGTAATCAGTAGTATATGCCCTAAACCCTAAATCTAGCAAACTACTATCCGCTACCCAAGTACCTAAGTATCAGGTCCGTTGCACCCTTGCGGTTTAGGAGTCTTTTTGGAGTGCTGGGCTTTGGTTAACACTTCTGGGATTAGGGGCTTTAGGGATTTATGGGTCTAGAGGATTGGGGGCTTTGGGGGTTTATAGGTTTAGGGTTTGGGGGTTTTGTTGGATTTAGAGGTTTAGACACTTGTTGGTTTAGGGTGTAGATCTGGGATGTTTGGATTCAGTCAGGGCTTGCAGTATGAAGTGATATAGGGGCGGAGAAAGGGAAGCCAAAAGAAGCCGAAGAAGCAACTAAAAGCCGTAAACCCAAAGCCCTAAACCCGCCTGAACCCTAAACCCAACCCCCCTAAACTCCCTAAGCCCTAAACCCTAAACCCTAAACCCTAAACCCTAAACCCTAAACCCTAAACCCTAAACCCTAAACCCTAAACCCTAAACCCTAAACCCAACCCCCTAAACTCTAAGGCCCTCAGCCCCCTGGTTTTGCAGGGCCCCTGGCTCTCGCGGCTCCTGCACTTCGTGCAGGGCATCTTACTCTTCGGCTCTTGGCCGCTTGGTTTAGGGTTTAGGGTTTAGGGTTTAGGGTTACTCTTCGGCTCTTGGCCGCTTGGTATCTTTTCGGAGCTGGGGCTTAGGGGTTCCAGGGTTGAGGTTTGGGATTTAGGGTTTGGGGTTTGGGGGGCGTTGAGGTTCAGGAGTTAGTGTTTGGAGCTTAGGGTGTAGGTGTCCAGCATCTTCAAAACAGAGTGGTTCCCCTCGTGCAGATGCCCGGCAACCCTTCCGGCAGGAGTTTGCGAAATAGGCCGCAGGATACATCAAGTCTAATGTCAGGGCCTAAAAAATTACATTTTTTAGTATAAGTATACCATCATGGAACCCAAAACCCCATTATAAGTCATAGTTATTAAGGCCCTACAATAGCCTGACGGGGCTCTGGACTCGGGTGCGAATCGGAACGAGTATGCAGATGTACGTCCTTGAAAGACTCTGGATTATTGTAGGCATGCGTTGATATTGAGGCATGGCCCACTAAAGAAGTTGTGGGTGTATCCATCAGGTATCTACAGAAATCTTTGTCAGGTTCAGTAATTAAGCTGCAGCATGTAACACCACCGGTTTGTTTTTTATTTATATACATACGAGGCCTGCAACAAGAACTAACAGCATCTCAGTCAAAGCTTGTGAGGCTCCTACATCTGTGACCAGAACGGAATCCTAGGTAGGCCTTTTTTATATTTTCCCATATTGCTCTCAGGAGGTCACGTTCACGAATATTTTTCAGAGGTCGTACAGGGCCAAGCTGGGTTGGAATCTCACTTGACTGGCTCTGCTCCTCAAAGGCTGATGATGGTGATGGGCTACTGCCGGGGGAACTTAGCCCTCACGCACTACTGCAGTGCCTACAACACGCCGGAGCCTGAGAAATATCGAAATCCACTGCCGCGCCGGGCATGGAGCTGGGAGTTGAATCACCATGATTACTTGAATAGGGGGGGCTCCTCCAAGTTGCGGTTTCGGTCTAGGGATATGGTAAACATCCTACTACCTATGGTCTCGTTCAAGCTCTTGTGGTGGTTTATCGGGGCTGGCAATACAGTGTTGGCAGTGCTATTTACACTCTCGCTCTTGGTCTTTGCCATGATGAGCTTATTCCCTGTTGCTTTTCCTAGCGGGATGCGAGATCGTGCTTTAAAGTTAGGGGTTTTGTGCCCAGTGCTCCTATATCAGATAGAGGCTTAGGGTTTGAGAGTCTCGGGTTTGTGACTTGAAAACTGTTGTCCGAAGCTTCCGCGACTTGGGTAATGTGTTTTCTTCGATCCAATCTCAGCTCGCTTCACATTGTACTGAACGCTTGCATCCCAAACGGACCTAATCTAATTCTGTCGATGAGGTGTCTGTACACACACCCAACGACTAAACCTGCAACCCTAACCGAAAGCTGAAAACTGTAAGACCCTCATGACGCGGCACCTCTAGCCCCCGCCCTAAAGCTTCAGCTCTGCAACTCTAGACCCCTGAACCCTCATATTTACGGCCGAAATAATTACCAAGACTTTTTTTTTTTTTTT